ACCACGGCGCACTGATGAAATGAGAACGAAAGTGACGGAAAATCGAAGTGGAGAAGGTAAAGTGACACACTTTTCACGGCGGTCTTCTTATTTACAAGAAAATAAAAGACTCTTCAACTTATTTACAAAAATGTCATGGTCTTTTTTTCCACGTCGTTTTGCTGCTTAACCGCCGTTATTTTGCGACGTTAAAAGTCTTTTTTCTAGTAGCGAGGAGAATGTATTAAATGTATTAAACTATAGATAAAATAGATAATAATATATTAAATGTTTAGACAAATTTTAAAAAAAATATTACCAAAAAAGTCAAACCTATTTTAAAAATGGGGAGAGTAATTATTTCGAGTTTCAAATTTCCTCTTCGGTTTCTCGCGGAATGAACGCAAAGAACTCGTTTCAATCAAATTCGTTACATTTTGGCCCAAAAAAAAAAAAAGCAAATTCGTTACAGAAAAGTTGCTCGTAATACCTTTAAGTGAGATCCACGACAGCATATTAACAGCAAAAAAAAAGGTCCGTCGAGGGCCGTGCACACAGAATACGATGTCACTGGGCGATCCTTTTGTTTTCTTTTATATTTTTTTGGCCAGGTGCAGTGAACTTCGTGGCACCGGTACACTGAATATTTGAAAGAATACTCCCTCTCCGTCAACAGTATAAATCATTCTTTAGTCCAAAATATAAGTTACTTAAAGAGTATTTATATTTACTTAGACAATTTTATTCCTGCAATTAATGTTTAAATATACTCTTATAATCTTATTTATAAGGCACTTCCAACATATTTTACACAGATCAAGAAAAATCTTAAAATGCATTAACTCTCTATTAATATATAATAACTTTTTAACTTTACCCATATTTAATATATACATCTTTCCAAAAAAAAATAACTATCCGTACTATAATAAATTAAAGACAAAATAGTACGTTCACGCTAAAAATTCAATGAAGTGACTTGTAAATAGGACCAAAAAAATCTTATCTCTCTGCTTTATAAAAAGGACCAGAGGAGTAATTCATTTTATCTTTCTCTTTCTCTTACAACCTCATGTAATATGAGTAAAGTTGGAAAAAAAAATTTAACTTGGAACAAATTTAACTAGTCAACTACTCCTCTGGTCTTATTTATAAAAGCAAAGAGAAAAGATATTTTTTATTGGGTACTGAGAAAAAACTTTTGGTATAGATATACAATTTTACCCTTAATTTGTTATTATGTTAACTTTATTTACATGACGTATAATGTATATTAAATAGAAATGAAGTTGAAAAGTTGTTAAAATTTAAAAGAGAGTTAATAAAGTTTGAGATTTTTCTTCATATATATAAAATATATTGGAAGTGATTATAAAGAGGATCCGAGAAGTAACATTTTTTGATATTTATAAATTAGTTAAAATGACGCTCTTTTTTTATTCCCATCTTACAAATGGCATTGCATTATATACCTTTACACCTCTGTATCTAGTCTTGTCTCAATGGCGATCCATCCTTGTTAGGATAGGACATAACTAGATTAATAGGAACATCTCGTCTATTATTTTTTTAATTTTAAAAATAAATGCATTTGGAGCCAAGAAACTCATAGCATAGAAAAAATAAATAGAAATTGACTAAAACATTGACAGTAATAGAAAAATAACAAAAAACAAGTTTTTTTTTTCTCAAGACAAAAATATATAAACTTAAAATATCTCCTAAAAACTATCATGTAACCTATACCACAAAAAAAAACTTATAAATTATAAACAAATAATTATAAAATTGTCCTGATTCCATCACCATATATATATTTTTTAATTTCATAAATTTATTTTCCTTATTATTACAATAACACTATGGAAAAACCATTTTGCACGAATCTATAGTTTTTCTCAATTTTAAATTTGGCACCTGTATCTTTTTCTCTCCTAATTAAACATTATATCTTTGTTTTGTTAGCACAATTAGCTTTTGCATAAGAACTGACAATGCTAATAGAGCAAAATTACAAAACTTAACGATGCTATATAACAGAATCAAATTAAAGTGTTCAAATAAGGGAGAAAAGCACGCAGATGTCAAATTAAAAATTAAGAAAAACTATAAGTACTTGCAAAATGATTTTCGCCAAAAAGGATTGGACGGAATATTCTGCAATACCAATCAAGTATTGTATGACGATGACATGTCCAACCCATTTATTTTATGGCAAAAGCAAGTCCTAGATTTGCAGTAAAAAAATTTCACAAAATGAATATAAAAATTATTAAATTTTAAAATAGGATTATTTCATATATTTTAGAAGAAACAAGATAATTTTTAAAAAATCATGATTTAGAAAAAGTGTTGGGTCAAGTACTCCTCTGATCCTAAATATAAGACCTTTTTATAATATAATTTATATTAAAAAAATATCTTACGTTTAACACTGACGGAATAAAATTTTAGGATCTTTAGACCGGAGGGAGCATACTTCTATCCCAATCCATGTGCACGTGGTCACGTAATCCAAAACATAAAATATTGAAGATAACACTTCGGAATTTGTATCCCACCAACGTGTCACAGAATTCAGAATATGCGGCGTCCATTGTGAACGAAAAAGGTGCGCGCAAACACGCATATATATGTATCGGTTGTTTCGGCACTCATTACTCTCATCGATCATCACTAGCATCACAAACTAAACATAATAATGGCTCTTAGAGTTATAGCATTGTCTCGTATTGTGTTTCTTCTCTTTCTCTCACTCATCAGCTTCGCAGCAATATTGGCTACATCTGTAAGTAATTAATCAATTGCTCTCATGTATGTATGCGTCGATCCATCCATTATTAGTGTCAATCTTTTATATATTGTGTGTGTTCGTATGCATGCAGGAGCAGTGCACATACATTGTGAGAGTTAAGACTGGAGATCGCAAAGATGCAGGAACCGACTCCAAGATGACCCTCAAGTTGAAGTCCGCTTCTGGCTTTAGCTTTACCGTCGACAACCTTAAAAGGTGGGGCGTCATGGGAGCCGGTCACGACTACTTCGAGCGGGGCAACCTCGACGTGTTCAGTGGCCGGAGCCCTTGCCTCCGTGCTTGCGCCATGTCCATCGTCTCCAACGGCGAAGGGAACAAGCCAGGGTGGTACTTGGATTATGTGGAAATCACCATGGTTGGAGGCGGCGGCCAAACTTCCAAGGTGTCGTTCCCGGTGAACCAGTGGCTGGCTCTAGACGAATGGCCTAAACATCTCTATGCCAATGTCAACTTATGCCCCCGCCCGAGGACTTGAGTTGTTCTATTTCTGTTGTGTGTTGTGTTGCATGTATCTATCTGCCTTTAATAACGTGTGTGTTGTGTCTGTGTTACGTAATGTTTGTCATGTGTTTCATTCCAGTATTAATAGCCTGTTCTGCACTTGCTGGGTGCGACATGCTAAGTCTCTTCATGTGTGGAATAAATTACTACCTCTACTACTTAATATAAAAAGTAGTTAGAGATTTAATTTAGTTCTAAAGATAAGATCTCAATCCATTTTGTTTCTACTATTTATTTATATTTTATCCCCAAATAATCTCTATGATGATTTCATATGTTAAGAAATTAATTTCCACCAATGGGTAGTTCGACTGCACAGGATTAACCATAGTATTTTAAGAAAAATAGTATTTATTCATTGCGAATAATTAACTTAACTAATTTTTTTAATATTCAAAAATTGGCTATCCAATAAAAGGTAGTAGTATCCTATATATCATTCCAGAAACTATGGAGAACACGCATTCCACCTCCACTGAACTAAGAGTCTGAGATGAATAAATTTAGTAAGGAAATTAGCAAACATAATAAAATAATTTACTATCTCTAATTCTTAATATAAGAGAGAATTTGATATTTAATTTAGCCATGGATATAAAATTTTAATCTATTTTACCTCCAATACTTATCTATTTTGCTTCCAAATAACATTTATGTTAATTGCGCAAGTTAAAGAGTTTTAATGAAAAGGTAATTTCAATGTACATTTTTCATATGGATATTTTGGGATCCATTTATTACAAATAACTAGTTTAATTAATTTATTTAATTTTTATAATTAGTTATACAACAATATAAATGATATTAAAAATGAGAGGTAGTAAAAATTTCAAACCGACATCCTGCAAACTGTTAATGTCATGTATGAGTAACTACGAAAGGTGACTTCACAGTCAACGAGATAAAGATACTTCGATGTTACGCGCGCGCGCACTCTCGAAATGAGATCCACAAAATATAAAATATAGTATCAATTATGACTTGTTCAAATTTGAGGTCCATTGAATTATAAGCAAGGAAAAATAGCGTAAATATAGGCAATTTGCCAATTTGCGAAAAATATAGGGCAGGCCTCTTGGGATCCAGTTGTAATTTGTAATGAATGTAAAATGACCAAAATATCTTCTTCAATTTCAGATCCCTTCAATTAGTTTACGAAATTTCAATTCTAAATTCGTGATAATCAGTTATAAATTTCGAAGGACGAGTCCTTAAAGACGATCATGAAGTGTAATAAATTTACAATTGAAGGGGTCTAAAGTTAAAGGGAACAATGTGGTATTTTACATAAGATAGCTGGGACTACAAACGTAACCTATTTCAAATTATACAAGTCTACCTAAATATCTGAATCAGTTGGTCGCATCATGATTATATGTAACTCCCTTTCAGAAACTAAAATCTAACCAAACGATCCATATAGGTATACATATTTGGCTTCTTCGAAGATTCCACGACTTTAAGCAGTAGGCACGAAACTTCTGAATCGTAGAAAACATGAAGGTAACTCCCAAAGCCACGAAACCACTAAAAACCATATAGCAGAAATTGCAAAAAGAAAAAGGGAGGCTTTTCCTAACACGCTTATCTCCTTAAGTCCAATCACTATTAGAAAAACACCTTTTTATACTATTTAATTTATGCCAGTTATTGCGCTGACAACCTTTCAAATTAAAATTCCTACCAATTTAGCTTGTTTTAATTTATGCCAGTTATCACACTAAATGGAAGGTTCGAGATTCTATCTCTGTCCGGCGCATTTTTGCCTGCCCCGTCGCCGCCTGGGGCCACTGGGCTAACTGTGTATCTCGCCGGCGGCCAAGGGCAGGTTGTTGGTGGAGCTGTGGTGGGTTCACTGGTGGCGTCGGGTCCTGTGTTGGTAATTGCAGCGACATTCGCTAATGCCACTTATGGGAGATTACCACTTGAGGATGAGCCATCCGGGGAAGAAGTTGAAGCGAAAACACAGCAGCAATCAGCAGGAGTGAATTCAGCAACTTCTGGGCCTCCTCCTTCAGCATCTCAAGCTTTGAACGAACAAGTTTCGATGCCTATGTTCTATAATTTGCCTCCAAATTTGCTACCAAACAATGATCAAATGCAACAAGACGTGTTCTGGGGGAATCCTGTTCGCCATCATCCTCCTTACTGAGATGAGAGAGGTGTTTGTTCTTTTCACTAGTGATAAGTTTTTTTGTTCATTTGTTATGTTTATGAGAATCTCGAAAGATTGTGTTTTGTATAGATCCCTCTCGTACTGGTTGTTGCTTCGTCTTTCCTCTAATCTGCCCTTTTATTTTTGCATGGAAGAGCTTCATTCATGAAATGACTAAAATAGTAACATGTTCCAGAAATATGCAGGTATTGACATTCATGGAGGGTAAGCAACCAGAGTTGTTGAATCTGCTTGCTTTTGCTATTGCTAGTTTAGTGGTAAAAGCAGTAGTAGAGTTGCTGGAAAGTCATGTAGGGTTGGTGAGATCAGGCTGAGTGTGTGAAAGGTGGGATGGACTGTGGGCCGATTTAGAATATTTTGAGTTGCGTATCTAAGTTCTTTGCACCTAAAACAAAAGGTGTAAATATGATAAAAAGACTGTCTTGTTTGGGACCCTTTCCGCGTTTATGTAACGGGCCAACGAGAGCTGTGGACATGCTCTTTGCACCTAAAATAACAAGTGCAAAACCACCCATCGTACGCTTTTAGCAGTAAGAACTAGACCTTCTCACTTAAAGGGGAGAGGAGTGTAAAACCATTGTTCTCCTTTTTTTTTTTTAATAATATATGACTATTTGATATTTGATGAGGCCAGGGGGTCATTTTTGAGAATTATTGGATTTAATTGCGAATATCTTTTAAATGTATTTTTTATATTCATACGGATAAACCTCATTCTCAAGTGCTGGGAGCATCTTTTACGAATCAACACTTGTTCTTGTGGTTTTAGGTGGAGGCTAGAAAGGGTGGGGGGAGTAATTGATTCAAAGAATTGGCTTGGGCTGCTTTTGGGAAAAGGAATCTCAAAATTTTGTTTTTTATTTTTCTGCCGTCACAATTGAAAAATTATTTTTGAAGGATATTAGGCCTATTTCAAACAAACACATCTCAAAATTTGGCACTTCAAAAACAGAGCTTTGGCTATGGCCTTCAGAAATTTAAATCCATAATTTTTTCTTTATAAGTTTAATTTAGAGGTCATTAGTTTGAGAAATTTTTAATGGAATATAAGATATGATAACACCAAGGTTGAGTTGTTTCGTTTGTTATGTTCTTTTTGGGGGGGGGGAGTAATTAAGATATCAATGAACAATGATATCAATATAAACAGTTCAGGGTTTTGCTTGAAATTACTATTCCAACTTCAAAAACAGCTTTTGAATTAAGCAACTTTAGTACTGAATTTATATAGAAAATTTTGCTATCAATAGGTATGAGCTATGATTCAAGTTTCATACAATACGCATATTATGTTGTGGTTATTTCATATGCCATAAAACTACTTCTAAAAAAATTAATCCAAACATCATAAAACAATCGAAATCAATGTGGTTTGTTTGTGTTTTTTAACGTAAGTAGGGGATATGTCATTTGCTGGAATACAAACAATTCCATTCCCTTTCAATGGAACCATTTAGGGCGTCATTCGGACAAGTCACCCGCTTTATCATGAGCCAAATTGGCCCCCAAAATAAAAGTGATAGCAACAATAAATAACCAGTCGACGCACCAAAAGAAAAAAAAACAGAGAGAGAGAGAGAGAGAGAGGCGATGACGTGCCATGGATTCCCATATCCATGATCGATACAGGTTTGACCTTATCTCAGAACCAAAATTAAAGTAACAGGAGAGGAATGAAGTGAATTTATATATGTCATTGTTATTCGTTGACATATAGAAACAACATATTGTGTTATTTGATACCATAGTCGTATCAGCTCTTGGTGGGGAAAAGTGAAATCCGACAGCAAAATTTTTCTTTCTCATCTCCTCAAATTCTTTATCATACCTTTTTTATGAATGAATGGCCCAATAATGATATACCTAAATAGGAATTATCTCTTTTTTTAAGGAAAAAAGTAATTATTTTTTAACAATTGATGATGAATTTTCATTTCATTTCAATTATTGGTATTAATGAGTTAATATGCTGGTTTCAAAAATTCAAATATCATATTCTCCTTACCAGAAGATAACAATGAAACCATGCTTATTGATTATTTCCAAATATAATTATTACTCAATGAAATTGGACCCAATTTTTAATGAATCAGATTTCAAGAATTGTAAGGGTTTTTATCAAGATTTTCTCAATGTTTGTATTTATCATGTTTATAGTATTAACAAAGTTAGTAACATACACTTGTCAACTTTTCTAAAACGATTGTTTCTCATCCTCAAGCTCTAAATAATGACATCAAAATCATGGATATATTACCAAAAGCAATCATATATAAACAAATTTTCTGGGCAATTTCCTCTATACTTTTAGCAAGTTCTTCATTATATTCAAAGTGTAACAAAGATGGACAACCCTTAAAGCACAATTATCCATGAGGATTTTTTGAAAAATCTTAGCTTGAATTTAAATTTATAATAAACTTTAATAAAGATTGATCTTTGGCTTATAGAAATTAATATTGTAAAATCAGATAATAATTTTCTTTCCAAAATTTTGTGACCTATGTCTTCTGTATCATAAATGTGGTCTAATGAATTGGTCAAACAGTAAGCACTTTTGATTGCGGAAAGTAGTCCAGACACTAGGCACGTAGATAATATGCCAACTTTTCAACCACGGACATTATTTCGGTTGCTAAGGTTTATCTGAATTTAGAGTGGTGGGAAACTGGGAATTTGAGTTTTTGCTGTCGATATAGAAATTTCACTGGTCTCGTTGTTTGTAAGGTTGATTGCAAGTATTTTTTAAAACTGCGAGACTTATTCTAGAGAGCTTCGAAATTCATCTGGTTAATGCTCTTTTGTAATAGAAAAAAGTGCATGTGTGTGTATAATATTTATGGATGGTGCAATAGGTTGCGTCAGCTATTATACTAACCTTTCATGTATAGTCGAGGTCTCCAGGAGGGTTGCCCCTTGGCTCTTTCTTTAAGGCTTGGCCCTTCCCCCCCGTCCCCTTCATATGATGTTTTTCTCCCGACCTCTTGTTTGTAGTCTTGCAAGAGACGTTGTCTCTCTTTTCTCATTTTCACTAGAGTTATCCTCTTATCTTTTGTTAATACAAAATGGTTTTTCACAGCAGTAAAATATAATTTTTACACTAATTTTGTAATAATCAATCTAGATGTAGCCGACTTACAGCAAGTTTTTATGGTGCTAATCAATGAGCTTTTTTTTTTTAACGTAAAAATTTTAGATAGGTTTTCGAGCTCACCTCAAGCGGAGACATGGCACTTAAACATCTCCTTCTAGGAGATAGTAATGTTGTTATACCCTTAGATATTGACCCAAACACCCCATTCTAATATGTCTTCCCAAATGCTGCAATGGGGAATCGAATCCCCTCTTATTTGAGTAAGAGGGCAGTTCTTTACACCAAACCTGTGGATGATAGTACAAGTAGAAGCCAAGTTTTTTTTTCCAAGCCAAAATTGAGTTTTTTTTACTACTTTGTTTTTTTTTTCCACTGGTAATATGCCGCAGAAGTTGTCCAGCCAAAAAAACTTTATGATATTAAAAAAAAAAAGAATGAAACAAAAGGGTAAATTAATCCATACAAGATTTGTTAAAAAAAAAAAATAGTTGTTGGATTTGAAGAGCTTCCCTTTCTAACAATAACCGCATAGGGAGGGGAACCTCCAAATCCAGTGGATGAAACTATGAATTTTTTTCAAGATAGTCTTTCTAATAATAATAGTTATAGACAATACATTCGATTAACATGAATATTTTAGGAAAAACAATACCTATTTGTTACAAATAACTAATTTACTTATTTTTTTAATCTTCTCAAATTAGTCAATTGGCTCTTATATTTAGAACAAGAGGTAGTATTATATATTTTCATTATGTATAAAATATAAGGAACAGAAATAAAGATTTCCATCTTGTTGAGGCAAAACCTCTCGGACGCACGGAAAATGGAATAACAGAAATTTTAGAGAGAGAGAGAGAGAGTGAAAGGAAACCGGTTTAATTCTAAACATCCTCTCACAAGCCATATAATACTCGGTCCCTCTAATCATAAATATAAGAATTAAATAATTAACTAACAAGTATTAAGGTAATTAATAAGATAAATGTATGTTGATTTTTTAAAAAAATATTCTCTCAATCATTTTCATTGAAACTGTCCTCACTAATTCAATAGCATGTGGCATCAGTCCGGGAAAATAATTATATTTATTAAATAAAATGAACTGAAAACTTATATTTAGATTAAAATAAATCCCTCAATTAACTATCATATTTAAGGCTGGAGGAAGTAATTCGCAAGCCTTCAAAAACGTTCTTTTAATACAAGATCAAAAACTTATGTATCAGCCAAGAACTTTAAAGTGCAATCCTGTAAACATGGTACATTTTCCCGCAATCTTATATTTGACACTCACTAGAATATGGGAGGAATTTCGGATCAGTCATACGATTCATATTTATTACTCCTTCCGGTACTAAATAAAAAACCTATTTTGCAATATAAATTACACTACAAAATAGGTCTTATTTTTAAAATCAAAGGGATAATTTTTATGCATATCTTGGGAGGCAGATATATCCTCAGGCAAATTCATGGGATGAGTCATAAATCACGTGTAATAAATTTCACCCTGAAGCTGGATAAATTTTTATGTATGTTATAATCAATTATTAATTCCAGAAAACAAAGCTAGTAAGCTCCTATTTAGGTGGCAATTTTTTTTATTGTTTCAATTACCGAAATATTTTTAACCGTACGTGAAGGAATCGCTTCTGGTTTGAGAAAGGAGAAATCAGTGTTGACCCCAATCACTCCTAAATCCTAATTTGTCTCGTGATCCTTATTCATAGAGCACTAAACTATGTATCTTTAAATTGGAATCCTTCGAGTACGGTTCAATATACTCTTTGAAACAATATGCCTATGACGCGGTAGGGAATATACATGCTGGGATAAATCTATTAATTGAGGTCATCCTTAATATTTGTAAATTATGACA